GAATGCTGACAGAATTTCAGTTGAACAAGGGTTTCACTTGCCGCTGGATCTTTGTCTCCAACTGAAAAATAGACGTTCAAAGCTCCCTGTGCAAATAACTAGGTTATACTGCCTTCTCTACACTAGACTAGCCTTTCACATCCCCGGAGAAAAAGGGCAAGATCAATCTTGTTGTTCACCTTGGAAGAACGAAGACTTGATGGAAATGAGTGAGAAGCTGTTTCAGCATGCCACAAAATCGGACAAGTGGAAAGATCCAGAAAGAAATGACTGGAAGAACAGTGGAAAAGGTGTGGTTGCAATTGTGAAACTCGAGCCAAATGAGAGAGGACAAGGGTTTTCAAGCTGCTTGCTTGACGTTACTCGTTTCCCGGTGGGTTCATATCAGATAAAATGGCAAAGCTGTTGCATTGACAGCTCGGGTTGCTACTGGAATCTTCTTCCTCTCAATGCTGGACCAGTCTTTACTGTTCTCAAAGCCCCTGTTCCATGACCGTATGGCCATTACCATTACCTGAATCTGAACCATTAAAGAGCCAAGGAAGGAATTGGGCATGCAAATGGTGGTTTCCATCTAAACCTACTGCGAAAAAGCTCGACGAGGAAAGATACTCACATGGGTAAGTCTAAGCACAGAGATGAAGCAGAGATTGCCCTTTCGGACAACTCACAATCTGTGGGACGACACAGAATCTTAATGTGTTTCAGTCAAACCGCTAACATAGTTTGTGTTTTCAGGTGGTAATCTCTCAGAAGCTGGCAAGGTAAAGAAAGAAAAGGTATTTGTATATATAAAGCCTGCATGAAAGATGAAAGGCTAACTGCCTAAACGTCGTTTCCTTGTAATTGACATTTATCTTCGAATTAATTGTGTTGTTAATTAAACTAGTAACACGAAATAACGCATGATTATTAGTTATTTAATCTGAAAAGAAACGAAATGATGACGTTTTATAGGCTATGGTTATGGATTTATATTCGAATTCGCTTACATTGGTTTATAGGGATTATATCATTATGTTTTTCAATTGTTCCCAATTTGGTTCGGTTTCCATTTGATTCATTTTTGTTAAAAAGTTATTTTTTAAATAAAAAATTGTTTTCAGTAATTTTTTGTTATTTTGTATTCGGTTTAAATCCGGTTAATTTTATTATATACACACAATAATGGACGCTTTTAATTTAGCACAACTAACATCATAATTAGACAATAATGGACGCTTTGCTTTAAAGAAGTTTCTGGTCGGGACAAAATATTATTCAAAAAGCTTTTTTACATGAACTTTATTTCCTCCATTTCACATGCGCAAAAAATATTATTAGATGCATTTGATATTATTTGTTGAAACACTTAAAAAATATATATAAAATGTATAATTTTTTAATAAAATTAAAAAATTTGGCAAGGACATAGGGCGCATACGTGCAGGCCTCTGTATTTATATCCTTTCTGCAAACTGTAATTTTTTTTTTTTTTGAAATTATCCAAAATATCCTAACTTCTTAAAAAGCTCTATCCTACTTCTCACATTCAGTTTCATTCCTCTACTCTCATAATATGTCGAACAAACATATAAATAAGGAAGAAAATAAATTTAAAATGGTAACAAAAATAATACGTCATAAAAATAAACAATATAAAATAAAATGAAACCAAAGATATAAAGAAGGAAAACTGAAAAACATTTAAATAAAGGAAACTGTACAAATATATAAATAAGAAAGAATATAAATAAAATAATATAATTCCAAACAAATATATAAAACATATATGTGAATATACATATATAGAATGTAAAATGGTAACAAATTTAAAGAAGAAAATAAATAAAACAATATAAACACCCATAAAACAATATATATATATATATAGAAATATGGAAATATAAAAAGAAAAATTGCAAAAAAGACACAAAAAATTAGAAAATTGTACAAAAAAAGGAAGAAAATAAAATAACAAAAAGAAAAAAATGAAAAAGATTATATATGATAGAGAATAAGGTAAATATATGCTTAGAGGACCGGGGTATTATTTGTGTGCACTTTCCAAATTAAGGTTTTTTTTTGTCCCATTTAGTAAAGAACCCAAAAAACTGCCCGTGTATGAAAGCAAGCATTAATTTTTCAAAATGGACTTTATCTCCATTTCATTTCACATGCATATATATATATATATATATATATATATATTATAAGATCTGATCTAGAAAATTCTATTAAATATTAGATGCATTTGATATTATTTTATTTGGGATACTAAAAAAATAAAATAAAATAACCAAACTTTTTTTTTTTATAAAGAAGGAATAACATTTTGGAGGAAAAAGGAGCGGTCGATGTATCAATGTATGGGTTAACCACTTTGAGGTAGCACAACTAACATCATATCATAATTAGCTAATGCTCAACGCTTTTTATAGTTGTGATTTAATGTTTTTTTATTTATATAAAAAAGAAAAATCTAAGGCTTTCTATTTGAAATTCTGCATCATTTTTCGTTGGAGTAGTTATAGCGCAAAGTGCATTAGTTACATTATAATTGAAATCGATTTCAACGAACTAAAAAATAAAACAAGAGGAGGATATGAAGAAATCTTCACTTGGAAGAAATTCCAACGAAATTAAAAATAATAATAATCAACCAAATAAATGCCAAAAAACTATACGAAATTCAACAGAAACATTTATCGTAAAATTCATATCTATATCCTAAAGTATTAATTGCCCTTTTCCCCTTTAGATCAAATATATATGTATATAGTATATCCAATAAGATATTGTGAAAAAATACGGGTGAACCTGAAATACTAAAAGCATATAATATAAAGAGACATGACAACAAACCTCAAGGGTGTAAATGTATAGATAGTGTGACTCAAATAGAAAAGATAAAGGTGTTTTTGTACATTTTTATATTCATATGCAAATTAATCTTAGTTACACCATCTTTTCTTTCCATGTCCCATAATATATATCCATCACAAGAATCTATAAATATCTAATGCGTTATTGTCATTTTTCATCGGTGAGAGGATCAAACTTAGGATATAGAAATAGAAGGGAAAAAACCCATTATGGATACAATGAAGAAATCTTCTAGAGATTCCATTTCTGTTCTGCAGTGGGTATTGACCATTGTGATGATATTGAACCAAGTCGTCGTCTATGGGAAACACAAGCACCTGCAGATTCATGAAATGAAATCGCTTAGAGCTTCCTTGATGATCCATCGCAATCTCCTTTCTCCGATTTCTCCTCCTACTTCTCCTCCGGTACGATTCTTGCTATCTTATACATATACATATATATATATATATATGTGTGTGTGTGTGTGTGTTTGTGTGTGTTAGAACCAGTTCTTGATCTCTCTTTTTTTTATAAATTTATGCATTCTTGGAACGTTTTTCTTCGAGAAAAACCTAAAGAATAACCTAAAGTTTGGAACTTTAACGTGAATATACATATGTATATATATATCCTCTGGATCATGTGTTTGTGTAGGCGGCAACGTCAGGTCCAGTGGTATACCGTGTGACGTCGTACGGAGCAGATCCGACCGGGAGATCGGACAGTACGGACGCGATCACGAAAGCGATGAAAGATGCATTCGACGGTCCGAACCATGGGGTATTAATGGAAGGTATCAACAATCTTGGAGGAGCGAAGATCGATCTTGAAGGTGGGACCTACTTGCTCAGTCGTCCTCTTCGCTTTCCCTCCGCCGGTGCCGGCAATCTCATGGTACAATTCCCGAGTTTATAAATATTATATATATATATATACAGACACGTATGTATGTATGCATGTATGCATGTATGTGATAGCTAACGTGTTGAATGGACGTACGGCGCTTAAGGGACAGACGCATTGTTGGAACTTATTTACTCAATGACTAGACGCTTTATTCACCAGTAGAAAATTATTTTCAAAGTAAACCTTAATCAGGATGTTTGTTTGGTTTGGTGAACTAATTAATTAAGGTGGATGAAAAATTAATTAATTCTTAAAGTATAAAATATTATTTAAGACTGAGAAAAAAGGGTTCATGAGAAAATAACGATTCATTAGTAATTCGAACCACCATCATAAATTTTTTAACCTGCCCATAAAGAACGTTTCTGTCGGCAGACTTTTTGTTGTAGAATTAATTTCTTCTGCATGCCTCCTTTGCTTACCTTTTTCTAGATCTCTGATTTTTTTTCCAAATTAAAAGTTGAATTTTCTTCTGGTCTCTATACAATTTCACATTTTACAGTGCAAAATTTGACATTAACATTTAAAAAAATTTCATATTAATACACGAATTTGTATAAAAATTCCAAATAAACACACGATCTTTAAAATTTTTAGAAAATACAGGAACTTTTTTTTTTAACTTCTAGTTTCCCAAAATCATGATATCACGGTAATATTTGGTAATTATAATATCGTGACAATTTTTAAAAGCATTTAAAAGGGCATTATATCAAAAATACCCTTAAAATGCTACTTCAACTTCAACACCTACCCTTGTGACCATGTGACCAATGTGACCGAAATATAGTGTGGTCACATATTGATCTCATTGTTCATAACGTTAAATTTATGATGTTTTAATCAAATGATTAGTAAGATATACAAGGTATGAACATAATGAATTAGTGTGATCACCATAAATTTAACGTTATAATCGATAAAAATCAAAATGTGACCATACTATATTTCGGTCACATTGGTCACATGTGACCAGGGTAGGTTTTGAAGTAGAAGTAGCATTTTAAGGGTATTTTTGATAATGCCCCATTTAAAAGTTTTTAATTTATTTTAATTATATTTAAAAAGTTTAAAGTTTAATATAAGAAATATATATTTATTTAAAAAAATAAAATTCGTATATTAATTTAATTTTTTTTATAAGATTATGCATTAATATGATATTTCTCTTAATTAATAAAATGTTTTCCATTTTAGCTTTCATTAGAATATAGGATATTCTCGACCGTCGTAGCTGTTAACATTCATGCAAGTTTATGTTTTTTTTTTCACATTACATTAAAAAAACTTTAGATTTTTATAGCTATTTTTCTTTACCTAAACAATATTCGTCTAAAAGGAAAAGAAAATATAAATAGTCTCTTTTGCCTTGCATGACACGTCAGATCACCGGAGGAACGCTCCGAGCATCGGAAGATTTCCCGGTGGACGGATACTTGATCGATCTCTCCGACCCATCGTCGAAACTAAATTACGTCTACGAATTCATAACCCTAAAAGACATGCTCGTCGACTGCAACTACCGCGGCGGAGGAATCGCCGTCGTGAATTCTCTCCGGACAGGCATCGACAACTGTTACATCACTCACTTCGGCGACACAAACGGAATCTTTGTCCGAAACGGACACGAAACTTACATCCGAAACTCCTTCATCGGTCAACACATCACCGCCGGCGGCGACAAGGCCGAGAGAAACTTCTCCGGCGTTGCGATCAATCTCAACGGCAACGATAACGCCGTCACGGACACCGTTATATTCTCGGCGAGGATAGGGGTAATGGTATCCGGACAGGCAAACATCCTCTCCGGCGTCCACTGTTATAACAAAGCGACGGGTTTTGGCGGAACCGGGGTTTATTTGAAATTACCCGGTTTAACCCAAACCCGGATCGTGAATTCGTACATGGATTATACCGGTATTGTTGCGGAGGACCCGGTTCAGCTTCAGATTTCAGGAACATTTTTCCTCGGTGATGCGTTTATATTGTTGAAATCGGTAAACGGCGTCGTTCGAGGAGTTAACATAGTGGACAATATGTTTTCCGGGTCGGGTAATGGGGTCCAGATCGTGCAATTGGATCAGACGAGCAAGGCGTTTGAGGGCGTTGACCAAGTGGTCGTTGACCGTAACAGTGTGAACGGCATGGCGGTGAAATCGACGGTGGCGAAAGGGTCGGTGGATGGGAACGGGACGACGTGGACCGTTGATTTCAACCCGGTTTTGCTGTTCCCCAACCTAATTAAGCACGTGGAGTATTCGGTGGTGGCGCGTGATGCGCACGTGTTCCCTGTTCACGCGCTGAGGAACGTGTCGGAGAATCGTGTGGTCGTTGAGTCCAACGCTCCGGTGGCTGCGAGTGTTTATGTGACGGTGGATCAAGGAGTCTCTAGCTTTGGTAATTAATTTTTTTTTATAAAAATGATTACTATTATTATTTGAAAATTTAATCTTCTTTGATATTTTTGTAATTTCCAATAATGGAAAACCATTTTTAGGGTTAAATGAAAATTGTGAATACAGTTGAAGAGTTGGTGATAGGCATTTACTCACGTCGTAAGGGAGAAACTAATTTAGTTGGGGAAAAGGAAAAAAGATAAAGCTGACATATTAATGTAAAACTTTAAATGTATATTAATTAGGATTTTAATTTGACAAACTAGTATATAATATATGCATATTATTTGGAAGTGTTTTTCGAATTGAAAAATAGTTTGTAATAATATTTTGTGTACGTACCATTATTTGCACACATCTCGACAGGAAAACACTATTAATGTGAATGAATGATTAGGAAAGAACTGACCAATCGATATTATGAGTTCCAAGAAGTAAAGCAAAAGCCAATTGTTGTTACATAGGAAAAAAAAAGTATCTCCATTTATAAATATCATTTTAAAGAATATTTTGTGTTATTAAATAAATATCTTTTAGTTTTTTTAGATATTAAAAAAACCAATTTTATCTTTAATTAAAAATATATAGCTAATCAAATATTAACGAAAATATGGTTTAATAGGAATATTAATAAAAATATGGTTTAATAGGACATATATGACTTGTTTTATATTTTTTTAAATAATTGTGAAAAAAAATATAAAACAACTTATTTAGAAATATAAGGGGGCGGAGTACGTATAATATAATTCGGAGTCGAAAGCCCAAATATGCCTCATGGCCCAAACTTTGGCCCAACGAGTTGAACTATTGTTGGTTTGGGGAAAATTAATTTGGATAGCCGAACCGACCGAACCGGACCGGAGAGATTTTTCAATTTTAGTCGATATCAGAAATTCGTAGTCACGATGTGCAAGAAACTTTGCGTCGTTCCAGTTTTCGGGAAGCAAACGTTATGTCGTTTCATGAACAGTCACGACTTCAGAAACAATAGGGGGTAGTCCTGATCGTTTTAGGACTTTGTGTTACATTCATATATCCGTGGAAAATTAAGGGGGTAGAACGTTAAATAGCCATTTATTTATCCATTCGGTCTGTTTATAAACCCAGCCTAAACCCTAAGCCCCTTTTGCTCTTCCAGATTCTTCCGAGGCCACTCCATCCCATTTTCTCCGTCTCCGGCAGCCATGGCTATGCTCTCTCACCGTCTCCGGAGAGCTCTCGTTACCGTCTCTTCCTCTCTCGGACGATCCATTTCTCTCTCCCCTGCATCTGTCGCGCCAAGGCCCAATCTTCCTTTCACATCGGCGGCGTTGCTCCGCCGAACAGGGGTCGAGTCATCTCCGGAATTGGCTCAAGCTACGGCGAGGCTATTCTCGACGAAGCAGTATAAGCTTTACAAGGAAGGGGATGAGATCACGCCCGACACAGTGTTGTTCGAGGGATGCGATTACAACCACTGGCTCATCACCATGGATTTCCCCAAGGATAATCCTCCTCCTCGCGAGGAAATGATCGCAACCTACGAGAGGACCTGTGCCCAGGGACTTGGTATCAGGTGATGTATCTGGAAAATTTTCTTTATTACGGTTATTCATGTTTCTGGAATTTTGTGCTTCATTTGCGAAGTTTCAAACTTTTGGTGCCCTGAGTTTCCCCTGTTTCTGCTCACGCTTTTCGCTGGCAACTTTAATCAAACTTGAAGTGTGTGATTTTGTTAGCGTAGGGACGTGTTTAGAATCTGGTTACGTGTTCTTATCAATATGTCTTTGGGATGCTACTTTTCTTCAATTAATACATGATAGATCCCTATTAATGTCATACTGTCTCATTTTCTCTGGTCTCAGTTCTTTTGCTTTTTGTACAATTGAATTACAAATCGGAAAAATGAGTGGAAAATTGTTTCTGTACTCTGTAAGATATGAATCTTTTGTGTACTTGGCTTTCTATTCTTGTCGCTGGACATGGAAACTGGATTTTTTTATTGTGAATCCGTGGAAAAAAGTATCTTCTTTGAGTTGGTTTGCTATGCCTAATAAAGAAATAAGAAAGTCGACGTCCTGTATCCTGTAGAGCTTTATCTCACACGTCTCGCAGACTCGGTTTGATTATCGAGTTCACAATTCCATTCATGTTTTCCGGTGGTTGCATCATGTTTGTCGGTGTGATAGGATCTTATATTATTTCTTTTGGTATTGATGGTGGTTTAGCTTGGAAGAGGCCAAGAAAAAGATCTATGCTTGTAGCACAACCACTTACCAAGGTTTTCAGGCAATCATGACAGAAGAAGAATCGGAAAAGTTCAGGGGTATGATCCAAGTATCTGTTTCGTTTTCATTGGAGAAGCTACTAGAAGAAGCTACCAGAATTCACATGTTGACACCTTCATTTTTGTCTTTCGAACAGATGTACCCGGGGTTGTCTTCATATTACCAGATTCTTACATTGATCCAGTGAACAAGGAATATGGAGGTGAGCTGTTATATACAAAGCCATCCCATTGATTGAAAAGAATTGCATACATACTGTCAGAAATGGCTCCTGGAGACATTTACCTTCTGTTGCCATTTCAGGAGACAAATATGAGAATGGAGTAATTACGCCCAGGCCGCCCCCTGTCCAATATGGGAGATCAAGACCTCGTGATAGGAATCGATTTGACCGGCAAGGATCTCAAAACTTCGAAAGAAATACACAGTATGGTCAGCAACAGCCGATGCAAGGCGATGGAAGGGGCTACAGCCCTCGTCCCAATTACCCAGCCCAACAGAACTATGGCCCATCACAAGGTCAGGGAAGTCAAATGCCTCAGGGGAGTTATAACCAAGGCCAAGGAGCTCCGGTGCCTCCACATCAGGGATACAACAGCCAGGGCCCACCTGGGAATTTCGGTCAAGGGTCTCCAGCTAACTACAACCGAGGGCCACCGGGAAACTACAATCAAGGGCCACAGGGTAACTTCAACCAAGCCCCTCAAGGAAATTTCAACCAACGGGGCGCTGGAAATTACTATCCACAGAGCAGTGGAAACTATGCGCCTCCACAAGGTGGAAACTACGCTCCGCCGCAACGTGGAAGCTATGGCCAAGCTGGAAATCCAGGATACGGGCAGAATCAAAACTATGGCCAACCGGGAAATCCGGGATATGGGCAGAACCAAACATTGCCGCAGGGGCAACAAAGGAATGAGGCAGGAGGTTGGACGAACACTGATCCTAATCCAGTCGGACAGGCTGGAACAGACCAAGTAAATCACCAAACTTGAAATCCCTTTTCACCTATTGTCATTGTTGGTATTGTTAGAACGTATTCTTGTATCATCTTTTTTGGATCTCTCTCACGGAAGTGATTTTCTGTGACAGTTTCAAGGGGGAAGAAATTGAGCAGACAGCATGGTTTAGTGAGATGACTGAAGAAGGAAACAAGGAAAAATTGCAAGCTATAAAGTTGGAAGAGGACCTTCTCTGTGGTAAATAATTGGTGGAGGTTGGGGGGCAGTAAAATCTAATTTTCTTGTGTTTTGGTAGTAATTGTGGTTGATGACTTCGACGTTTCGTTTCTTTGCGGAAACAGTGTTGGTGCTTGTCTGATCCATATCTACTTTTGATTTTATAAAATATGCTGCTGCTGCTTCTTTGTTGTTTTCTCATTTGACGGTGATTTTTCACTGCCTGAACCTGAGAAAGCTGGTCCGAGAACGAGAATAAGTAAATGTAAAAACCAAATGGGCTATGTATTCTATTCATAGATCTGAACGAGAGTTTCTGAATCGTAATTTGGACAGAGACGTTTTAGCCATTTTTACATTTGGGATAACGGTCAAGAAGAAGATTCCGAGCTGGTGTTGCCGGCTAGTACTAGTCGTTCCTGTTGCCTCTTCTTGAGAGGAGGCAATTCAGGTAATACCCACGTCGGGGACTCGTTCAGCCACAGAGCTTCCCCTGTTTCCTTGTGCTTGAAGTCTGGTGCTTTTACGTTCCTCTGCCCATGATGTTTGGAACAAATCAGTGATAAGGAATGGGGACAGAACAGAACATGTGTTAAATACCAAAACCCAGACCCAGAGTATGATGATATAAGAGGATAGATATATACTTGACCTTGTTTGATCTGTTGTCCCACCATTTATCAGGGTTCTGAACCAAATCCTTCCATGATTCCTCTTCTACACACCATTTCACAACAGCTCAGGTTTTTACAACAACACTGTAAGGCATATATATATATATATATAACCTAAGCAAGAACTCGTGCTTGCGGTAAAAGAATACCTACTTGTACGTTGCTTCACTTCTCTGGGTTTGGAGACTGGAACATCGAATTTAATTCCTTCAAGCTCTGGCAATACCCAGTCAGGAGCCTTGTTCAGCCACAGAGAAAGACTGCCATCCTTCCGCTTGAAATCAGGGTGTCTTGGTTTTACCTACCAAAGGAAAACCGAGAAATGGTGGAGACCAAAGCCATTAGTGCCACCGATGGAGGAGACAGAAACTAAATCCAAAAGGGTTCCTCACCGATCCATTGGCTTTATTATCACGGTGATCCCACCAATCTTTTGGATTTACGAGAAGGTGCTTCCAAGTATCCGAAGCCTCCTCAGTGGCTGTGACCTTCTTAGGTCTACCTAAAGAGGGAGAAGATTCGGGGCGGTTTATCAATCAGCATTGTTGCTGATGTTTATTCACCAAAGAAAAAAGAAAAAGAAAAAAATCTCATCAACTAATCCAGCCTAAAAAGTCAGAAACTTAGCTCCTATATCACCGCCACGGCTTGCTAACACACACTAGTACGAGGTCTAGATTTCATAAAAGCAACAGCACAGAGGTGATGCAAATAAAAAAATGTGGGCAATGAGCATATCAATCGGACAGGTGAAATTTGACATTACTTGATACATAACATAGCGTCGGAAACTCTATACAAGACATACCAGGCGGCCGCTTCTTGGTGCCACCCTCTCCATTTTCAGATGACGAGATCTTCATAACCTTAGCTGTAGTAGGATGTACAAAGTTGAGATTCTGGACCATAACCTGTAGTGAGCAAACATCAAAACGAATTACACTGCCATCCCAAATTCGACCAAGAAGAGACAACGGAACAATCAAGATAATACTCTTTCAGACTCTTCAATCAACCAAAACACATTGAGATGGGATCTATTAGCATCAAACTTATGGTACTTAAAAGCAGGATTTTCCCCCGTAAAGCTCACCTGGACACTGGCTTGAGCATATGTCACATTCGGAGGAGGGGAATCTATAAACAGTTTTCCCGAAATATGAATCTGATCATCTTTCTTTACATAGCGTGCTGCAATTTTGGCGAGATCTCCTTCGAATATTATTGGAACCCTGAAAAACATACAGAAAAATTTACAAAAAAAAATTAACAGTTCGCTATGGGAGATTATAATGCAGCGGTTTAAGGATATTGCTTCTCCTCCATTGTTTGCCAACGTAGAATACTTCCCAGCATTCGAAAATGAAGATACGAAACGAAACCCTCACGATATTAATCGCCAGCCTCTTATCAAGCGTTTGTGCAAGTAACAGTGTAATCGTAACCATATAGATGATGAAGGAAAGTGCAGAATTGGGGACAGATGTACCAAAACGCAGAGGAATCAGAATCGGAACGCTGGGAGATAACGGTGCCGGCCCAGAATTTCCCGTCGGAAGAAGCTTCGAACTGAACGGGTTGATCGACAAACCCGATCAGGTTGACCCAATTCCCCACCTCCGGTTGGAAAACTATCTCCTTCGGCCTTGGCAACTCCTTCTCTTCCTTCTCCCGCTCCAACTCCGGAATCTTCGCCGGCGCCTTAGCTCTGGGTTTCCTTCCGCCGCCACCGGTTTTTCCGTTGACGGCGGCGGAAGAGAAGCGAACTTGCTGCGAAATTACCAATTTTCGTCTAGGAAGTGCGGCTGTACTCGAGTGGAAAATGGACGAACAGACGACGACTCTGGTCACGGATTTGAAGATTAAGTTCATCGTTTCATGCCCGAACGAAGAAGCCAAGAATTCGGAAAAGCCCTAAATTTCCGCGCCAAGGGTTTAAGGAAGGAAGCAAATGGAGGACGGAGAGAGATGATGGACAAACGCAATCCTTCATCAGCGATGACCGACAGATAAACCGATTCAGAAAATACCGTACCGGATTAAACCGAACTGTAATTTTTTTCGTTCTTGCCGCTGATTCAATTTCCGGTTTAGTTTGAGATCACAGTACTCTTATTGGGCCTATTTATTATCCATAGGCCCAATTAGAAATGCAAGAAACTTTACCCAAGGCTTAATTCATTACAGACATGAATGATGGGTCAAGTGACAAAACTATTGGTTTTTCTTTCTTTTTTCAATACTACGTAATCATCTATTTTAATAATAATAAATAAAAACACAAACTTCTAATTCCACATTTGTCTGAAGCTGCAATGATAGTTTGCCGTGTTGACCAGAACAGATATAGTTTTCTAATATTCATATAAATCTCGATCATAAAACGTTTTAGTATGAATCTCACGTAAATATAATATATATATATATATATGTATATATCATCATTATAATGTAACTAATGTTCATCATCATTATTATAACCATGCATGTGCATGGTTTACATCATCTGCACTTGATTTTTAAGTTTTTTTTTGCACATCTAGATCATCCATCATCATAAGCTCTTCCAACATCATAACATCGTGATGCTCGTGATTATGATTATCGTAACCCATGTGATCCATACCATGATTACTACCCCCGGAGTTATACTGTTCCGATAGCACATCATGATGATCAAGATAATGATCATGATCATGATCATACCCACCATGCAAATTTGAAGAACTCCCTCCACCAGTCTGATACGGTGTCGTTTCTCTATGACAACGTTCCGTACGTCCGGTTTGGTCTTCCTGTCTATGCGGTTGAGCTTGATCGAGGGCATAACCGTAATTAACCCCGACGCCGGAGGAATAAGCCGATGACCCGAAATCCAACGTCATCGGACCTCTTCTCCGGATGGAGATCTCGTCGGAATCACGGCCGGTGAAATGCTGAACTAGGGCTCGGAAATTGCTAGGGTTTGCGGTGAGTATAGTCGTCGGTTTGGCTCTTCTTGCACTCGACGCCCTCGACCGCTTCCTGACGGATGCTGACGTGGCGCCGGCGCCGCCGTGGTCGGATGCTGACGTCATGCAGATGGTGTCGGAGCTCGTGGTCTTCGTCGTTATCGGTGGTGGCGGTCCAAAATTTTCGGGCGACCGGTGAGAGCTGGGGTTCGTGCCCATTGTGTGTTTTGGCTGCATAGGCGTATAAATACAGACTGCATGGTCAGTTTATATACACGGGACTTTATTATTATTATTATTATTATTATATATATATATATATATATATATATATATATATATGGAAAATAACATATTTTTAAATTTTTACTTTTATATAAAACTACCCCAAAATTTAAAATATGTAAATATCCATCATCAAATTTCGAAATTTGTTACAATGTATTACACAACATCAAATGGCGTTAATACTCTCTGACTTCCTTTAATTAACACGGTTGACACATCGTCATATTTTTCTATCATAAGCATGCCATATAGAAATAAAAATAAAAAATGAAATGTAAAATATAAAAAGTAAAAAAAAATATATATATATATATATACATGTAAATATAAAATAAAAAAGTAAAAAAATAAAAAAATATTATATACATACATATAAACATGTATACATATATGTACATACAAATACATTTTGGTGTAGTTTTATTTAAAATTAAATTTTGAATTTGACATATTTACACACAAATTTGTATGGGAATATGCTATTATACATATATATATATATATATATATATATATATATATTAAATTCAGACAAGCATATTCATCGGGGCCGAGACATGTGCAAATTGTTTTGAGCGAGATGCGAAATGTGAACACCACTTTGATTCCAATAAAATAATCATTCCTAGTCATAATTATTGTACTTTTTTCCCGCGAAGAATGCATATTTTAAACATAAAAAAGTAATTTCTTAAGTTAAAAGTAGTAATTTACTTTTTAAGAAAACACAAAACAAAAAAGTGATTTTCATTTAACTTCGAAAAATACATCAACTAGCTAGGTAATAATAGATGTCCAATTAAAAATAAATTATAATGCAGAGTAGAAGTAGTGTTCGTAACAAATAATAAATAATTCATATAAAATTTAGTGATCTTCTCTATTCACAACTTATAATTTGTAACATGGAGGTCCGAAAAAAAAAAAGTTGGTCCGAGTTTGAATATAGTCAAGAAATCGTGATTTTATTCACCAATTACAAGTGGTGATATGATTAACATCCAATTTCAAATTGCCTTAGCCGGAACTTCACATTGCCTTAGCCGGAAAAGAAGCGCCAAAGCAGTCCCATGGAGCAGATTGCTATCTCTGGAAATGTGCGGACTCCAAGTTCACCAAGTCTTTCTCAACGAAATCAACTTGGAAGCTACTCAGATTACGATCTCCTATGGTCCACTGGTACAACCTGGTATGGTTTAAGCAAAGCTTTCCTCGATATGCTTTCCTACTTTGGTAGGTATTTCTGAACCGTCTACCCACACATGATCGGCTATCAAGGTGGGGCATAAACACAGAGCCCTCATGTCCCATGTGCCGGCTGGAGTCAGAATCACATAAACATTTATTCTTCAGGTGCAACATCTCTTCGGAAGTATGGAGAACCTTTGCCCGACGAATCTGGACTTTACCACCATCTGATTACACCGATTTCGGACGATGGCTAAACGAGAACAAGGAGGAAACGTCACAACACCGCATCACCATAGCGAAGCTGCTCTTACAAGTCATTGCATATTATATTTGGCGAGAGCGTAATTCACGGATCTTTAAACAAGAGGCCACATCCACAGCTTCCCTCATTACCCGTGTGAATGATACAATGAGATGTTATCTATTTTCTCTACAAAGTGAGGGATCCCAAGAGTGCAATCCTATATTGCAGAGCTGGTACTATCTCTTCGACCAACGGCGAGACGAGACGTGATGCAAGAAAGCAAGAAAACAAGGTTTTATGCGGTTTTGTAAGTTTTGCAAATCCGAATTATGGAATCCAATCTTTTGGCTGTAAAATGGGGGCTATAACCCACATCTGCTTGGTCTATTGAGACTGTAAACATTATTTTATTTATATATTCATCTTTACCAAAAAAAAAACATCCAATTTCAAAGGACGACTTCAGTCACCAAATGGCGATGATGCCCTTATTGGATTTTATCATTTTCTTGGTTTCATCATTTAAAAAATTCATCCGTTTTAAGTCAAGTTATTTTAACGTGTTTTTTAAATAAATAAAAAAAGCTGTAGTATTGAAAATTGAAATCAGCTGAAATAAAAATAAATAAATTAGAGTCATTTTCTCTATTGTATTTATCAAAACGAAACATTAGGGTTTTGGGGTATGAAACGAAGGAACATTTGAAGAGTAACACCAAAAGATCAACGATGTTGAGAAACAATAATCCGACAATTAAGTTTTTTTTTGTTCAAACGACAATTAAGTTGTTAGTTAACGGATCTAATATTCTAATAAGTTGTTAGTTAAGTCCGAGATTTGAACTCAATTGCACCTTTTATAATAAATTAAAGTCTATTTATATGTTAGTAAAAATGAAATATAAATAATTATATACCAAAAAAATAATATAAATAATTATTCACCATTATGATCCATATTTTTTTCCTTAATGAAACGTAAGTAACAAAAAAATATATAGAAAAATTGACCAAACTAATGACCGACGAGGAATTATTTAGCTAACCGACTAATATTAAACTCGGAATAATCTTCCACCGAAACAAATAAATACAATAAAATCGGATAAGCACGAAAATCAAATCCCATATATGTTAGTTTATCATATTCTCATTAAATTAAAAACAAAACTGCTCCCAGTATATCATTCTATTTGATAGAGTTTTATTTTATATTAGATATTTAAAATATAATAATTCGTTGATAAATTATTAAAACTAACCTATTGTATATATTATTTTGTATATATGTGTGTGTATATATATATATTTGGGAATTATGTAACGTAATTCGCAAATAAATACAAAACCCCAAGATTAATTAATGTAGGACCAAAACCGTGGTAGATACACATGAACAAAAAATAATAATAATAATCGGCTGTCTTTCTAGGAAACTTCAGGAGATCTACATGGATACGAAAGCAAATGAATTCAGACAACAAAAAAATAGAAGGTGTTTTCAATTGATTTATATATTACGAGTATATATATTTATGCAATTGATATTCATTTTGGTGATGGATTTACAAAACGCAATTTGTATGTATATATATATATATATATGATCACGCGTAACGTTGTAACGATAATTATTGTTAGATTCAGTATTTGTAATGAAGTGTGAAAAGGGTTGGGAATTACAGAGATACCAATTACGTTGACCAATTTAGGTCCATAGTCAATTGGTCAGAATTGTTGACCGGAAAATAACATTTCATAAACCGACAAAATCCTTTTTTTTTAACACTCGTAAAAACACCGATTTCTTGCTTAAAATTATTTAAATCCAACGTAATCAAATTAACCTATCATTTTCATAAGAACGTTGACTTATAATTTTTCAAATCCTCGTCCTTTGTCAGATTCGGTCCTCAATTTTTTTTTATAACGATGGAACCCTCGACCTTTCGGATCAGACTTCGCAACGCCTCACAGCTCCAAGTGTCGGACGAATGACACGGTATCACAGACGGTAAATCCAACGGTCCAACGCAACTTAATTTCATTGCTTATAGTGTCACTTTATTAATCACCTGATCCTTCTACCGAGAAATCGGTGAATTTAGAACTGTAAGATTATCGTAAATGTACATATATATACACGTACGTAAACATGAACATTTTCATGCATGAGTGTGTGTATATATATATATACATATGTTTATGTTTGATTATCAGTATATCTATAAATCTAAATGTTACGTTTTCAAATTCAACCCTATTTGATCCAGATCATAGAACTGCAATTATATGAAAAAGAAACATACTTTTAATGTGACATGCACCATGTAAAAACGTGATTCTTGGTACCAAATTACGAAAAAGTATTTGAAGATACATTTTATTTTCTGGTCTTTTCAGACATTCTGATTTGGACAAAAAAGATAACATTGTCGTAAATGGAAAAAGAACCTCGGTATTGTTGAAGAAATCGAGTTATATATTTCCCTAACGTTTATATATATATATATATATACTAATCAAGCATCCTATCGATATCACCCTTCGTGAACTCCTGAAACATAGTGGTGTCAAAGAGTTCACCCTGGGAAATATCATCATAATCAATATACATATCAGAACTAGTATTCCCCGAATATTCCCTCGTGACACCATCATCATGGTGATGATCATGATGATGATGATCATCACTCGAACCATGCGACATCAGACCGCTTTCATGGGCCATCCCATACGACGCCCTTCCCTTACCTCCGGCACCGTTTTCCTCGCGCCGCGGCGGCCAAGAACCGTGAAGGGCATTATCGTAATTCCGCTGGTATCCGCCATCGCCTGAGCGCGGGAAAACGTCTTCCTCCGAGACCGAGCTCGGCGACCCGAAGTTCAAAGTCACCGGACCTCTTCTCCGGACGGAGTTTTCTCCGGCGGAGGAACAGCCGGTGAACTGCTGAACTATGGCTCGGAAGTTGCTAGGGTTTGCGTTGAGCAGAGTCGTGGGTTTGGCTCTCCTCGATGTCCTAGGTCTCCGTCCGGCGTTCTCCGGCGCTGCCACGTGGCATACGGTGAAAGATTCCGACGATGACGTCATGTCGAGGGCGTTGACCGACCGACCCATCTCCTGTACTTGTTGTTCGAAGTACTGTAACCACTCGTCTCCACTAGAGTTTCTGTTCATTCTTCTTCTTTTTTTTTCTTTTAATGATTTTATTTTGGTCGCTCCTTTTTTTTTTTTTTTTTGAGATTTAGAGAAGCATAAGGTTGGGTTCAAGGTCCATTTAAATGCAGGACGAGTTCGATTCATTCACTCATTATGGTCTTTGCATTGACTTCTATGCTAATTAATTTTACATATACCAAATATATCGTGCAGTGTGCAAATCATATTTGAGTGTTGAGGAAGTAAGAATGCATATATATCTATTATTTTCCGTCAACTTCATATGTATAATTCCTGTGTATATATACATACATACATGGGTATGTATATATAGGTTTGTACTTTGAAGTACATATTTTGGTAACATGTATTATCAACTTGATTAGAAGAAGTCAACGGTAATGGGCTCCGTAAAGCGGGTCAACGAAGTTATCTTTGATAAGTACTTGGTCATGATATTTGGATATTTCATTGAAATACTTAGTACTAATAATATTCATATTCAATTTAGAATTTTTTTTTATTAGACCCATTTTTTCTCCTTTCTTTAGGCTGTTGTTTTAATTTTTTTGTTACATTTTGTTTTTTTTTTCACAGGAGAAAACAATTTGCTACTTCCCAAATACATAATTTCAAATAATGTACAGGTGGTGTGTGTATATATATATCTTATTAATTAAAAGAAGATGTATAGTTATAAATAAATGCATAAATAATAAAATATTCTTACGGATAGGTTAAGCAATAAATATAAACATATGTTTCCAGGAAACAACAGATTGGCTACAACATCAGAATGATGTTTTGGAAGACTTGACTTGCTAGGGTTGATGCACTTCTCGGTCTTCTTTTTTTATTTAAAAATATCTCTCCTTAAATAAAAAAAAGAATACTCCCTCTCTCTCTCTATATATAATATATATGTGTGTGTGTATAGGAATGATATGTAAGCAATGACGAGAAGATGCTGCCGTCATATTTTAAAACCTCGTTTTAATTGTGGCTACTACACTTAATTTGTGAAGTTATTCTACATACATACATATAATCACAGCTAATTAATGACGTACTTTTGCGTTGATTGTCAGCCAACTGAGCTGTCGTCTATTCTCGAATTTCCATAAAATAAAATATAAACTCAGATTAAAATAAATTATCACGATGATGATCTCTCGATCATAGTATTTGTTCCTTGGTCGAACGGCTTACATACCTAACATAATTTTAAAAAATCTATTTGTTTTTAACAAAAACCGAATATAAACCGAACATTAAAACAGTTCGAATCCAACCAAATTTGATATAAGAATCCAATTTATATATATAGTTTTATTTTAAGAATCAAAATTAAATCAAATCCCAGAATATCCTAAATTCTAACGTTGATGCATAAGTTTATGGTATACCAATTAAACTCATGGATATAAACTGTCGTAGGTTTCAGTATGATCGTTGTGTTCGGGATTCAGAATTTTCTGAGATATTATGTGCGTGTATATATATATATATATATATATATATGATAGGAGAGGTGAGATGTGAATGGAAGAGTTGACCAGTCAACCGAAAAAATCGTGAGAACACCGTCAGTGTTTCAAAAGGACAAGATCGAGTCTCTGACAAGTGACTCCCCCTTCCCTGTGTTCTTTCAACCAAAAACCTTCATTTGACTTCAAACACTTTGTTGAATCTTTCCACTGAGATTTTTCAAAGGGGCGTACAGTTCAACACGGAAGTATTTGAACAGCCGCTGTAATCATACGATTTAACGGACCGTTTTCTGGATCAAGTCGTTACAACAAAATTCAATTCCGTGGAATTTTACAAAACACGAAAAAAAACTGTTATTAGTTTTTTCCAAAAAAAATAAAAAGGGGGGTCGGTCCATTACACACACTAACTATTCCACTGTGATCTCCAAGACAGTGGTGAGTCTTGGTTTCTTGTATCTCCTGAGAAACAACGAGGAGCAAACCACACTGACCGAGGAGAGTGCCATGCACGCGCCGGCAGCCCACGGCGGCAACTGAACCCTCAGCGCCGGGTAGAACGCTCCGGCCGCCACCGGGATGGCCACCACGTTGTAGGCCATGGCGAAAACGTAATTCAGCCTGATCCTCGAGAACGTTTTCCGGGAGAGATCGATGGCCGTGATCACGTCTTCGAGGTTGTTCCTCATCAGGACGTAGTCCGCCGCTTCCACGGCTATATCCGTCCCCGCCCCTATCGCCATTCCCACGTCGGCTGCGGCCAAAGCTGGCGAATCGTTTATCCCGTCTCCCACCATTGCCACCGTGTTTCCGTCTCTCTGCAACGAATGGATCACGTCCGCTTTCCCTGCTGGCATCACCTCCGCTCTCACTTCCTCGATCCCGACCTGTTCATATAATATTCATTCGGGTTTAGAATTGATTCTTCTTATAAATCATGTAAAGTAGGGATGACCATTTTGTAAGTGGATTTGACGTGTACCTCCTTGGCGACCGCCATGGCTGTTCTCCAGTTATCTCCGGTGACCATTATGGGTCTAACTCCCATTTTAAGGAGACCCTCCACGACGACGGCCGCTTCTCGCTTTAGCGGATCCGCAACTCCGATTACACCTACCAATTTGCTGTCGTAGCCAACGAGTATTCCCGTCTTTGCACCTTCTTCGAGTTCCACAACGAAATTCTCGATGTGGTCCGGGATGGCGATACCATTCTCCGTCATAAGTTTACGGTTCCCGACCTTGATCGAAACAAAAAGATTATTGCCGGTTAAACCCAGAATGAAACGTTCACCGATCGATAAGCAGCAACAACCCCACTCAACCGAGTGAGTATACCTTCTAGGATCTGTGCATCAAATTCACTAAAGATGCCATTAACACTTAACACAATTTGATCTTGCTGACTGCTCTGCACAAGTGAAGCCTCAAAACCAGCATCCTCGATTGCGTTAACTATATCATCTTTGCTGGTTATAGCCGGGTCATACTCGACTTCTCCTAATGAAGTAGCCAAGGCCACTACTGCCCTTTTGACACCAGGAAGATCTCTTAGAATGCCTTCGACTGAATTAACACAGGCGAAGAGCGGAGAAACCCGAGGTTTCGAGGAGCCATCCCGAAACTCGGGAGTCTTTCTTGTCTGTTTCGGATTCATCAAAGAAGTGGAAATGCCGAGCGTATTCGACTATTGCTTTTGCCAGCGGGTGTTCACTGCTTGCCTAAAGAAGAGGAAAAAACCCGATGAATATATTCAGTAAATTTATCAAAACAGCAATCTCGGAATTCTGGAAAAAAGAATATATCAGACCTCAGCGGACGCAACGAGCGTAAGGAATTCTCCACGGTCCATCTCCGAGAAAACTTTCGCGGTTGTAACAGTAGCTTTCCCTTGAGTTAGAGTGCCTGTTTTGTCGAATATCACATATTTCACCTTCTGAGCTCTTTCCAATGCATCTCCTCCTTTGATCAAAACGCCATTACTTGCCCCGACTCCCGTCGCGACCATAACAGCGGTCGGAGTTGCCAGCCCGAGAGCACACGGGCAAGCTATTACTACAACCGATATTGCAAACATGAGCGAGAAAACGAAGTAAGTTCCGTTTTCCGGCAGCCATTCTTCTGGGTAAGCTCCAATGGCTCCGCCAATTAGCCTACAAAGCATTCGATTCGAGAAATATACCAACAACGGCTGATTTAACACGTATATACACAAAATTAGACGTAAAGAAACCGCTGAAATCTTAGTGTCCCGAATCTCACCAGCCCAATAAAGTGAATAGTGCCAAAGTAATCACTATCGGGACGAAAATGCTAGCGACCTGCAGCAGGGGAGAAGCCGAGATAAATCCGGGATTATATTGCGAAAGGACTATCGAATAAGAGTAAGAACCGACACATACATAATCGGCAAACTTCTGAATAGGAGCTTTAGACATTTGAGCTGTCTCGACCAAATTTATGATCTGACTAAGGACTGCATCCGACCCAACTTTTGTAGCTTTGATGTGAAGAACACCATGCATGTTCATCGTACCTCCGATTACGGGTGAATCGACCTCCTTAGATACTGGAACCGATTCACCCGTCACCATACTCTCGTTTATGTAACTTGTTCCCCATGTCACGACACCGTCTGACGGGATCTTTGTACCCGGAAGAACTTTCAACGTGTCGCCAGGCTGAATCAGCAAAGCATCTATCTCTCTTTCCCCAACCGCCTTTCCGCCTACAGAATTTAGACCAAACATGAAACTAATCAGCACTTAAACTGGTTTGTGTCAAAGATTTGATGATCAATTCGTATTCTTCTTGATCCTCGTCAAAAAAGAGTCGAAGGATTTCAAACTGACGATATTACCACCGACACTTTGGTACAGCAATCATTCTAACGGAACATAGCTGTTTCAGACAAGCGAGAAACTGTACCTTTGCCATTGACGAGCAGAATTGCGGTGGCGGGAGCGAGTTTTACGAGTTTCTTAATAGCATCTGACGTCTTTCCCTTTGCGAGAGCTTCCAAATACTTTCCCAACAAGACAAACGTTATCAGCATAGCGCTCGTTTCAAAGTATGTTGGAGACCAAAACCCAGTGACCGCTCCATACAGAAGAGCCGCGACAGAGTAGAAGTAAGAAGCTGAGGTTCCAAGCGCGACCAGAACGTCCATATTAGTCGAACCATTTCGAAGAGCTCTTCCTGCTGCAACGTAGAAACGCTTCCCGACAACAAACTGAATAATACTTACCAATGCCCATTTCAACCAATCACCCATCATAAATGGTCCACATCTCCAAACCAGCAAGGAGTCTAGCATAGGGATATGTGGGCACACAACTTTGATGAAGAACAGAGGAATCTGGATTTGAAAAAAAGATAAGAATCGTCTCAATTAGTGGCATTAGATAAGAGATCTAAGATGACATCTGAATGCATCACAAATGACGTGTTAACCATTTGAGTTTATCTAACTGATAGAACAGCCACAAGACTTGCCTTAACCCGAGCAAGATAAGATTAGGTAAGGGAATACTTTTGTGAAGAGACGGAAAGGGAACAAAGAAGTAACTCACACTGAGAGAAAGACTGGTGTTGAAAAGCCGAAACATACTTGCAGCTTCTCCGGTGTCTTTAGAGTTCAACCTTTCGTAAGGATTCATTACCCGCAACTTGAACTTCCCATTGCTTCCTCCTTCGATCCCATCCACCAAGGATCTTGAACTGACAACCTCAGGATCGAAAACCATCTCCAGTTCTCCCGATATCCGGTCAAGACAAAATTGTCTAACCCCACTCAACCGAGTGAGTATACCTTCTAGGATCTGTGCATCAAATTCACTAAAGATGCCATTAACACTTAACACAATTTGATCTTGCTGACTGCTCTGCACAAGTGAAGCCTCAAAACCAGCATCCTCGATTGCGTTAACTATATCATCTTTGCTGGTTATAGCCGGGTCATACTCGACTTCTCCTAATGAAGTAGCCAAGGCCACTACTGCCCTTTTGACACCAGGAAGATCTCTTAGAATGCCTTCGACTGAATTAACACAGGCAGCACAGGTCATCCCTCCAATGGTAAACTGCCCAACCAAGGTGGTAGCTTGTGCTTTTGTCCCTGTGGTGTTAGGTTCCGACAGAATCTCTGCTTCAAATCCAGCATCTTCAATGGCTTCTTTAATGTCCTCCTCCTGAAGTAAAGAAGACAGCCAAATACTTCCAATCACTGAAAGATCAATTTCTGGAGATAAACAAACAAAAACCCACAAGTGCGCTTTCTCAGAAACGATTCTTGACACTGACTTAACTTCAGGATTTATCACAAATTCACCCCAGGAATGTTAAGAGCAAGGGACCAGAGCCAATATATGTCTTTGTATATTAAAATCGCAACCCCTGATTTGGTAAAGTAACTGTGATTTCCAATTCGCATTATAAATGTCTGCTGTCAGCTATTACATAATTTAAAGAACATGCATTTACAATACCCAGAAAGATCCTGCCTTTTGATTACCTCACACGCAAAGAAATTAGGAAAGAAAAATCCAACAAATTCGCCCGAATCGGACGCACAAGGAAAAGATGCAGCAAAAGGGAAAAGAATCTCTAACCTTGACCAGATCGGGATCGAAAACGACATCGGCCCTATTCTGCAACAAGGCTACGGAGGCGCTCAGTACGCCATTAACGCTCCTCAATGCTCCTTCTACGGAATTAGAACAAGCAGCGCAAGTCATGCCTGTCACTCTAACCTGAATCCTCCTCACACCGCCACTCCCGCCGCCTTCCTCGACCCTACTCAAATCCCCGGTGGTTCCGTCATCGTACGCGTCGAGGAGCCTGACCTCCTCCATCGCCCCGAAATCGGAATCTCTAATGCCGATCGCCGCCTCCGCCGCCGCGGCCGAAGACGATACCGGTATCAACTGAACGCCCCGTCCACTCGGCGCCATATCCTTAACGATTCCGACGAGAAGCAGGCGGAGACACGCCTACGACGAGGTCAAAGCTAGGATTCTTGTTTATGTATGAGCATACGCATATATATATATGTAGAGATTGATTCTATTCCTCTGTATGGAGAGAAATGGTGGAATTTCGTGACAAGAAGGAGAGAGAATGAAGATAAAATTTAAAATAAAAAAGAAAATGAAAATGAAGATGAAGATTTTCCTGGTGAGAGGAGGATGTTCATGTTCATGGGTGGCGACGGCTATTGGTCAACTGGAAAAAAAAAAAAAAAGCCGGGATTAAATGACTGTTGTACCCCTGAGCTGTTTTGGTATTTACATATTTGGGCTTTTGCACTTCCATGGCGAGTGGTAGTACAGTACAGAAGCGATCCCACGTTTTATCCGTTTCTGTTATGTTTTTTGGTAAGAATTATAAATTGCTTTAATTAAAAAATATATAGTTTTTAGATGATTTTATAAAATAAAAATCCAATTGGATTCATATATAATCGATATTTTATTTAGATATTCGTAGAGAGTAAGATTTTTGGTAATTCTTTTATGTACGATATTGGAGTGGTGTGAATTAGTTATAATGGCTAATGGAATTTTAGGAGGGGGCTATCTAAAGCTAATCATCACTTAATTTTTCTTTGGAAACGATGATTAATCATAAGTGGACAGAAAGTGTTAGTCGTTGTTCCCGATCAATTGCATGCATGAACCACTTTGAATTTCAGTAAAAAAAAGTTGAGAAGTAATTAAATCTATTTTATTTTATTTTATTTTTTATTTGCTAAGGTGAGTATCATCTTTATATTTACGTGATTATGAAAATTTATAAAAAAAAGCATATTATATACAGAACCAACAATAGTTCGTCTTTTGTTGGAAAGGTGACTTCCACTCCACTAATCAAAAGCCGATTTCGATGTCACTAAAATATAAAAGGAAAAAAGAGAAAAAATTAAAGACGGAAAATATAACCGAACAAACCTTACAGGAGCCGACAGCCGACAACGTCAAACGACCAATTTCTTTATTAAAGTATTAATGAGAATCTTCTTTTTTTTTTCACATTTTGTTAGGGAACTAATTTGATATATATAAATAATTTTTATACGTTTCGATGCATGCACGGAATTATTACACTTTGAATAATACAAACCTTTACTCACTCACCTACTTTTGTTCTTTTAATGCTACATATAAACATGTTTCTATTGTTGTTTTCGTCGTTCATATATATATTATTAATATTATCCAAAAACCCAAAATATTATAACAACGAATATCAACAAACTGTTAATTTCATTTCTTTCACACGCCAAGTCCCCCGGAAGTCGTTAACGTGGTTAGGGGCATTTTCGTCATTTCGATCGGCCGGAGAGATTTGTTGATCTAACCATAGCTGGTACAGACGTCAATTTTCTTGGTTCAGACCAATCTTGGTACAGACTAGGTTTGGTTTTGGAATAATATATAATATTATCAGAACATTTTTACATATTTTTATCATCCTAGATGTTATTATAAGCATGTATGGGTTATATGGGTGTGTGTCACTTGCCATGGATTATTATTTACAAGTATGGTTTAATCCCATCTATAAGATCCCAGAAACTGCACGAGAAATGACAAATGAGAGTGTCTGCCACTAAAGATTTCAGAATCAAACCCTCCGAATCAGTTAGAAGCTCTTTTCCAAAAAAACCCTATTCTTACTTGTCGGTCACGTAAGTCATGAAGTCTTGAGAGAAACATATCAGACCCATGGAGATCTTGTCGGAGTTCTTTTCCTGGGTCTCTTTCTGAAGCTATGTGATTCGCGCGCATCACGCTCTTTATCCAACTCTTGTTCCACCTGCAATCACAGCGTTCATCACTATCAATCCACTTTCCGAACTGAATTTTCCCGTAAATTAATTGTGAGAATATCGATCACGACCTTGCAAGATTCAGTAACGGTCTGATCGTCTTCTGAAGCATTTTCCGATCCAAGTTTGGTTTTCGACAGATCTCCCTCTTGATCCAAGTCTTGTTCCACCTGCAACAACACCGTTCATCACTGTCGGTCCACTTTCCGATCTGATTTTACCAATAAAGTATGAGAATTTCGATCACGACCTTGCAAGATTTAGAAACGGTCTGATCATCTTCTGGAGTGTCTGCCAGTCCAAGTTCTTCGAGCTTATAGACGCTGCACAAATCTCCCTCTTGATCCAACACATAGTCCAACTGCATCAAAAGTTTTCCCCCCATTCGCTCACTTGCTCAAGATTTTCTCCATGGGCAAAAAAATAATGAAATGAGATGAAAAGACCTTGCACGAAAGAGAGCAGAAGATGGCGGGCCTGTGAACAGTTTTCTTGCACTCTTCTATGGATTTCACTTGGTGCGACGGCTTCAGTCTTATTATGGTTTCTCTGAAAGCCGATAAACGGACCTGCAGAACCAGAAATTTATAACAATCAGAATCGAGAGAGATCAGAGAGTCGTGATGATGATGATGATGATGATTATGTATGTGTTCTCAATTACTTGGATTTGAGAGCAATCAATGAACATGGACATGTCCTCCACATTGACAATGTCATCACCTACCAGACTCTTCAGTACCTATGAAACAACATGCATGATGATATGTTAGATGGGCGCTTGCGAACAAACATTTATACCGTAACCAGACGCATGTACATGCAGGCAGGCCAGTGTTCAGGTTTCAATCAAAAGTGTATATATATATTCCGTAATCAGTTAAAACGATTCTCGGGTCTGGATTCCTTCTGAAAATTTGGCGATTCTACAGGAAGGAAAGGTTTCTTATTGAAGGGGCAACTTCAAGAAAACCAGTTATAGAACAGCAAAGTAGGGTTCTTGACGTAAGTACCTTGTTATGCAAGAAACTGATTGAAACTTACGTGAATCCGGGGGTGAGGAAGATGAGCAGCAGAAACGCAGTCGATGCATTGGGCGGTGCAGCAGCTGAAGCAGAAGAAGTTTCTCCGACGCTGGTGGATTCTGCAGTTCCGATTGAATCTTGCGTTCATTAACGCTCGGTACCATTTGGGTTTTTTGACATTCTCCTCCTCTTCGATTTCGGTTTCAATATCTTTTGTATTCTCTTCATCGCTCTCGGTTTCTTGCCTCTTCTCTCCGGATGAAGAATCCTCCATTGATGGTTTTTCTTGAGAAGATTCTGTTTCAATCTCTTTCGTGTTCTCTTCATCGCTCTCGGTTTCTCGCCTCTTCTCTCCGGATGAAGAATCCTCCATTGACGGTTTTTCTTGAGAAGATTCTGTTTCAATCTCTTTCGTGTTCTCTTCATCGCTCTCGGTTTCTCGCCTCTTCTCTCCAGCCGAAGAATCCTCCATTGATGTTTTTTCTTGAGAAGATTTTGTTTCTGACATTTTCGTGACTTTTTGCGAATTGGGAGGGGAAGAAGAAAAAGAACTGAGAGATGAAGAACAGAGAGCAAGAAAGGGAACGAGAGAGAGAGAGAGAGAGATGAAACAGATTCTTAACTGCAAATCGATTAAATCGACATAAACCGGTCTAAACCGAACTTCCGTATCTGGCTCTGTTCTTGAATCTTGGCCAATCAACGAGTGGTTAATTGATATTTATTCAACTGGGTCCTGACTCCTGATTTATGCAAGAAATCTGGTGTTTAAATGTAAAAAACTGGAGAAAAAAAAATCATCACCGTCAACGAGTGTGAGACACGAATCGGACGGTTGAAGGACAAGTAAACCAGATACACCTCGCCGCATCAGATTAAAAACGCCACCTTGGAACCTAAAACCTTGTAAAACCTAAGATCCTTCCAAACGACATCAGAGTTCATCTACGGCCAGTCTCTTTCCGACCATTTTCCGGCAGGTTTTTCTTCCTTTCTCTATTTCTTTCACTGTTTGTATCCCATTGGATGTAAAGCCTTGAGCTTTTCGAGTTTTGGTTGAATCTGGGAAATGGGTATGAATCTGTTAAGAGGAATTCGGAAAATCGATATGGTATTGTTAGGTCGATTAGGGTTTATATGGGCAATTCGAAAGACAGATTATTTTCTATAGTTATGATGAGCTGAACATTTTCTTCGCAAGTTTGTCTTTTGACACAGCATACAATGAATCAAGTTGCGAACTTTTCCCGGAATTACCGTCAATTTCTGTGTTTTTTTAACCGGAGCTTCGGATTTCATGAGATAGTATGCTTAATTCATCTTCCATTGTTGCTGCTCGTATCCAGCTTGCGAGTTGGAGATGGCATTTCTGTGATAAACTTGATTTTTGGTCTCTGGATTGAGGAAACAGACTAAGTTTTGGATATCTAAAGATGAGCTTGGTTTTGAAAAAAAAAGCAAAATTTATCAATTGCGTTCTCTCTTAAATCCTTTACACTTGGAGTTATACACCTCAATGCTTTAGTTGGTGGTTCACGGAAATTTAGTCAACCTGCAAGGAAAGAGGGGGAGGATGAGGAAGAGGAAGAAATCTACCCGAGGAGACTCCCGACCGATTATGATCCGTCAACATTTGGTCCTACCGAGCACCGTAGTCCTCCAACAGGGCGTGTGTTCAGACTCGTGGACGAGTTTTCGTCCCTCACACTATCTGAAATCGCAGAACTCGGTTCGTTCATAATGAAGTAAAAGGGTATGACTGAGCCGCCTACTGCTGGTGTCATGAAGCCGGGGGCAGCTACCGGGATGGCAGGCATGGCTGCCAAGGGCCAAGCCGGTGGAGGAGAAGACCGTGTTCGAGGTTAAACTGGATTCATACGAGGCATCTGCCAAGATTAAGATAATCAAAGAGGTTAGGAGTTTCACTGATTTGGGTCTCAAGGAAGCAAAGGATTTGGTGGAAAAGACTCATTCGATTTCGATTTTGAAGAAGGGGGTGTCTAAAGAAGAAGGCGAGCAGGTGCTAAGGTTGTCCTAGAGTGAAAGGAAACATTTCCATGGCAGGTTAGATATGGTACTAATCATCTGTTTGCTCTTTGCCATGTTTGTGGACTTATAGTTCTTGGCCATAGAATTACCAAAGTTCCCAGCTTCTTTTGGCTGAAGATACAGTTTACTGAAGGAACTGAAACGTATAGTTTTGTTGGCAAATAATCATTGAGGGGACAATATTATTTGTCTCTATTTTCCTTCTGTTGTGTTGTTCCCAATCTTGGATTAGACCCTGAACCAAAGAGGATTAGACTTTTTTCAGATTCATTCCATTTCTTGCTGCTATTATGCTATGTTTTCATAGCTGATTAGGGTATAAATGCTGCTGTAATTGAGTCTGTGTATCTCTGGGTTTGTTCACTAGAACAAGATTTAATTGAGTCTTGGGTATATATGTTAGAGTCCCACATCGACCACAGAGATAATTGAGTTTTTGTAAAACTATGAGCACTTTTTCTAACAAACTCAATTTTGAGATAGAGTTTTGTCTATGAGTGAGTTTTATCAGTATAGTATAATAATCATAAAATAATTTGTGAATGAATGAATGCTGAGATCATTTGGTCATATAGTTAAGTGAAAGGTTGATTTTTTTTTCTCCTTTTGTTTTTTACATTTTTGTTGTCTTTGTAATAATATTTTATTGTTTTGTCTGATCTAACACAAATGTCTTCAAATGAATGTCTGTTTCATACCACAATCGATGCCCAATGGACCCTCTTAACATTTGATTTTGACACTTTTTAAGTTACTTATCAATTTTCACATTAATAGAAAAATAGCCTGCTTTTTTTTTCCTTACGGAGGATATGATTATTTACATTCACATGCCTCGAAATAGGACCCACCGCGTGAGATTTGTTAGGTGTGATATTAAATTAAAAACAATTAGAAAAAGGACAAAAATCTATATTCACTTGAGATTATAAAATCTCTTGTTTGGTTGTTTGAATGATGAGCCGTGCTGATCAGTGGTCACGTGCCTCGTCCATGTAGGCTGTCACGTGGGCCGGTTACTGTGTTTCCTTCAAAACCTTGGAATACAGACCGTGTACGTATCGATTTCTACGAAACATATTGTACCGAGTTTCGATTATAAAACTGACAAACGAACTAGCTAAAATTTAATTAAACATAAGAGAGTAAATGAGATATGTGAATGAATAATTTAAATACTAACAGTGTTTTAAAAACAATATTTTAAATTGGTTTATATTATATGATAAAAATAAATAAAATAGAAGAGGAACCTTTGACTCATGTCGTCGTCATGTGTTAGATTCCTGCGCATGTGCCCTTTGGTTTCTTGATGGGCACCAACATTGTTTTAACATTTTTTATTTTGTTAAAACCGATAAATAATATTACAATATATTACTAATTATACAAATATTGAATAACATTCCTACGCTTAGAGTTAAATTGGAATCTATTTAGCATCTCTCTTCATATTCTCTCACCAATAATGAATCCTATATATACACACATATGTAGTTAATATGATAGGTATATATATATATATATTAATGTATACACATTTTTCCATTTTTTTTCCAAATTCCCAATATTTTATTAGCTAACTACCATATATATATATAGACTCATGTCAGTCTTCAGTTAGATTCTCTTCATCATAATACTCAACAGTTCTTTCTCTCTCCTCTCCCTCTCTCTCCGCCGTCCTCCGCTGCCATGTCATTTCTCCGGCGAAAACCCGTGGCCAAAACCGACGTCACAACTTCCGCCGTGAGAAAATCCTGCGAGAAATCTGCGCCGGCGGCGAACTGCGGCGTGGCGTGCCTGAGGAAGCTCGTAAGGAAGGTGAAGAGACAGCTGTCGGAGACGGGGAGGCAAAGATCGTTCCAGTGTCGGTACGACCCGCTGAGTTACTCACTGAACTTCGACGGCGGCGCGTGTGGTTCACTCTCCGACGACGACGCGGATTACTATCTTCGCTTCTATGCCTTTTCTTCGAGATTCGTCGCTCACGAGAAGAGACCAAGTTGATTTGTGTTTTGTGATTATATTTTTTTTCTTAAAATGTAATTTTTAGTTCTAGGTTTTATGGTTAATCAGTATGTCTTTTGGTTGATCTGTATCGAAGTTTAGTTATATTTCAATTTTGGAGGGTAGTAAGAAAATATTTAGAGAAAAAAGATTCATATTTTGATATGGAAGGAGCCGAAATTGAATAAGATACTTGGATACAATAATGCAAATGTTTGATCATTTGTAACATCATATTCATCTGTAACGTTTTTTTTTTCTGAAGCTAAGAAAAACGAAAAATAAAAATATTAATAATATTATTACAAAAAAAGGATAAAATATGCATGGGGGAAGGTGTGTGAAGGCTTAGGCAATGCATGTTTGTTGACCGATTAATCTTCACACATTTTCACGAATCACAATGACAATCTTTTATATATATATATATATAAAATACACTTTATTAAAAAATGAGTAAATAAATTATACACTTACGATATATGGCACGCATGTTACTAAGAGCTACAAGAACCAGGATGATTAATTTACGAAATTAAACTATTTGGCATTTGACATTGTTTCTATCCATTAGGAGACACGTATATATATATATATATATATATATATATGTATATTGGTATATACATAAACCGGTTCACTCCGACCAATTTACCTGACCGGAACCGAATTTTCCAACGGCTCACATTACAGTCTTGACCGGTTCGGTTTACAAACAGGGACACAATCCACACATATGAATCGGATCAATCTAAAGTGATTAGCTTCATTCCATTAGACAAAGCCCTAAACTTATCTTCACCAATTTGTATCATGTCCAAAAAAAAAAAAAGAACAAAACAATGTTTGTAGTTTCAATGTGCTTCATCTTAAAGCTTCAATCATCACTTCAGATGAGGAGGTGGTTACTTCATCTGTTTCAGCTCCTTCATCGTCCATGTCCGGCTGTTCGGCCTCGGACTGCATCTTGTTCAACTCATTCTCGGAATCTCGCCCCTCTTGTTTCCCTTTCGGAAGTTTATCGAAACGGATCGGTAGTTGCCCGGATTCACTTTTCTCACCAGCTTCTAGTTCTGAAGGTTCAACTCGGTTGATAGATTCCGGAATTGAGCTTCTGATCTCTGGTGAGCCCGAGCTTTTCACGGCGGTGGCAACCTGAAAACTCGTCCCGGCTGGTAGAGATGATGCTACCAAGGGAACAGCTTCAGGCAATGAATGATTGTCTTGAGAATGGCTTTGCACATTGAGGCTGTTACTAGCAATATCTGTAGGAATCTGAACCGATGCATGCGATCTGCTTCTACGTTTCTTTTTCTTGCGTAGACTATGTCTCGGATCCTCTGGGGCTGATGGAGGCAGCTCTGGTATCACGAACGGCAGAATGACGGCGGAATCTGCACCATATAGGACACGGACCGATCGAGATATAGCCGACACTGATGGAGGTAGGCTGTGTTCAGGTGACTTCAAAGGAGCAGTTACAGCATCCCTTAACCAATGAGGTAGCTTATTCTCTGAAGAGCTACTACTTCCGACAACCTCTTTCCCCTTTGGATTGGAGAGATTCAATACTCGACTCGGATCGGGGAGAAATCCCGGGAACATTCGGATGCTGGAATCAGGCTTTGGAAGTAACGGCCTATCAAGAAAACATGGTAGTTTTCCGCGTTTAATGGCAGCTTCTCGTTCTTCTTCTGTTTTCTGTGCACTGAAACAATTCAAGCCTAGAGAACCTAGATCGCCCATCCCAAGAGAGGTGTGCGGAAACACCTTCCCGTTGGGAATATTCACTGATGGTCCAGCAGAAGAATCTCCAGCTCGCAGATTCACCACAGGAGGAAAAGGCTCGCTTCTCAAACCCGATTGATCTGATGGCTCATATAGGGGAAGGCTGGAAGCTAGATCACTGAATGCAAAGTTTGTGTCTGTCAAATGGGATTGGAACATCGGAGGATTAACGAACTTTGCTCCATGTAAAGCCCGAGACATCATACCCTCAGGAATACCAGGAAACAAGGGAGATCTGGTAGATTTTACCGGCTCGCTCGATTTTGATGGCAGAGAAGAAAGATTATCCAAAAATTTACGCTGCTCTTCCCCCCACGTTGCTGCTAGGGACTCTGGTGTTTTAAATTTTGAGAATTTTAATCTCGGGTCTCTGAGAATCATCTCCCAATTTCCATACCCATGTCTCCGAACCCCGATCCAGAGAGAATCTAGTTCATTTTCAGACCATGGATCTACTCTTGTTTTCTTTTTGTGACCAGCTGCAGAACCCGTTCTGAACATTATATTCTCCAGAACCTTCCGATGGTTATCCGGAATAGACGGAAGTACTGAAGGTAACTGATCCAAACCCAAAGGAGGAAATTCTTTCTCGTGCTGGTTGAATACTGGTGAATCCAAAGGAGGGATTTTCAAATTGGGAAGGAATGGCATTGGTGGCATAGCCAACCTGTCTTGCGCTGAGTTTCCAACACCTTCAAACATATTTCCCAGTGAAAGATTGGGTAAGAGGTCCTGATGTGAAGTTCCCATGGCTCTGAGCATGGGCGGAAATGGAAATCGAGGCATTGGCCTGTCTTCAAGAGGTAGGTTAGGAAGTGGAAACTTCTCCTGTAAATCAGCAAAACCAGCACCAGAATTTGGCAGAGGAACTGGAGGGAACTGCAAGGAAAATCAAATGTTTTAAACCATTTATACAATGAATGAATGTTTTACAGAATTGCATGAGATGGAGGGAGAGGAGAGGAGGGGAGAGGATACCGGGCGAAATGGAAACCAACCATCCAGACTACAGTTTCTAGCCAGCTGCTGAGGAGGAGCTCCCTCTTCCACATCTTTCGGCTTTAATTTACCCGAGGTGGGCTCTTGTTCATTAGCTTCTCTCTCCACCGAGAGTGAACGCCCCGTGGTGAGGGGCAAACTGAAAGGGAAATCCGTCCGTCCTCTTACTGTTATCTTCTGTCTACCACTTGAACGTGATTCAATTCTCCGCGAGCTTTCTGGTTGTCTAAAATTAGGAGCACACAGTCCAAGAACTGGCAGGTTGTCGAGTGGATGACCTGGATCATAATGAACAGGAGTAGGATCTGAATGACTGCCAATTTTGACCTTGGTTGGATTGCTTAGCCTTAAGGTCGAGTCAGTTTTCCTTCCTAGTGCATCAGATCGCTGAGCCACTTCGCTATTCTCCAAGTCAATCACACGAGGATTTTCTTGGACTTGTTTAGCCGCTTGAGGTTGTAGCTCGGGTCCCTGCAATGTGGTATTAGGAAGAAGATCTTCAACCGCATTCCTCTCAGCAAGCCGCTTCTTTTGCCTTGCTCTCAGTTCAGCACTAATTTGCAAAAAAAAAAATATCCATATCAAGATCTTGAAAGGAGTTCCATTGTACTTGCAATTGAATATAACTCATCAGATGCTTCAACCAAACCTACAGAAATACACAACTACGAAGATCTTCCAAATGCTAAAGGAATCGTTTCCTTCCAGTCATAAGACATAACAACTATTTCAGCCCAAAACAAATACTCATACGAGGAAAAGAAAATCTGTCAGATATATGTAGTAGTTAATCATTTGCATCAGCCCCAGTGCCACAGTTAGTAGACTCAGCAATAGTAAGCCATATATATTCAGTTCCATATTTTCCTACAGCGAAAGCATATCCAAGACAATAAATAGACGGAGTCTGGCTTAAAACTTACAACTTTTCTTTCAGAGCTCGTCCTGCAGGTGTGTATTCCTTCTTGGGTTCTGGTTCCTTCTCTTCTTCATCGCCACTCTGCAAAAGTTACAGGATGGTTAGAAATAAAACCCGAAGATGGTATTTATAGCAGAAAAAAAAACAAGATGCTTCCAGGAGTAGGGAAAAACCGATACCTCACTTAATGCTTCAGAGGGATTTGGTGCATATACTTCTCTATAAGATACAGCCTTTCTCAGGCGTTTCCCTCTGCCAAGTGCTGCTTCTTCCTCTCTTTGATACTTCTCCCACCTACACATACAGTTATGAGATTAACCAAAAACATTTAAACATTTAAACATTCACCGGTAGAACTGAGCAGAAAACAATACTGACAATGTATTATCAGTATTGTATAACTCAAGAGATAAGAGATATATATTTATAAAGCATCCTGGGTTCTAACAATTGAATGTTAAAGCATGCTCACCTTACACGCAGAAGCCTGTCCCATTCATTTTCTTCAGTGACATTCACTATAACATCCTCTCTCCTCTCTGAACTCTGTGCACCAGTGTCATCGGTCACCAGTGCAGGTGATTCAGCTCCACCTTGTTCTTCAGCTGCTTCCTCATTCCATTCCGCAGGCTGCTTACAAAGAAAGAGAGATGTAAACCGTAACAATGAAAACAATTACTTGCGATTTGGAGGAAGAAACAAAACCATGAAAAGAATCACACTATCAGTATCCTACTCTTAGTGATAAAGCAACCTCAAGTTCTTTGGCAAACAATTTGAGGAGCAAGCATGCCCTCTCCTGCCTGTAAATCTGATGCAATCTAATCATATTGTTCTCTATTTAATCAGTTGTTATTATGCTATCTATAATTTCCAAAATCAGGACCTGCTTTTCTGCTAAAGATGTCAAATACACAAATGTACGATAACTCGTATCAGTATATCAACTTATAACACTGCATATCAGTCAGTATATTTGCTCAAGTGATAACCAATAAGCAAGAAAAACATATGGACATGGCATCTCACCTTTACCGAGCCAAGCATATCATTCTCCAAATCTGTATCAGCTCCGTCACTGGAACCTGATTGAAGGTCTGTTCGGTCAAGCAACTTCATGATTGCATTTTCATCCCACACGATCTTGCCAGTCCCGTCTGTACATTTGTCCTGGTAAACATCTCCCAAGCCACCGCCCTTTTTCCGGTTCTTGCATTCTAAGTCTATTATGATGTCCGCTTTGTCATTACCTTCACATGTATCTTTCTTACTCACACTCAGAGAATCATTGAAAAGTTCTTCAGTCCCCCAGCGTAGAATATCTTCAACTTCCTTTTGTGATCCAGACTTGTTTACAAAAAGCTGATCCAGCATCAACTTCTTCTTGGCGAGCTGTAGAATGCGCTCTTCCACACTAGCACGCACAACAAGCCTATAAACCAAAAGCCGTTTCGATTGTCCAATTCGATGAGCTCTATTCATAGCTTGGATATCGGCATGAGGGTTGAAATCAGAATCATAGATAATGACAGTATCAGCTGTTGCCAAATTGATACCAAGGCCACAGGAGCGTGTGGATAACAAAAACACAAACCGACTTTTGTCTTGGTTGAAACGGGCTATGGCTGTCTGGCGATCAGCTACAGAAACAGAACCATCCACTCTTTCGTATGTTTTAGGACCAAACTCGACATTCATGTAATCTTCCAGAATGTCGAGAAGCTTTGTCATCTGCGAGAATATCAGAACTCTATGCCCTTCCTTCTGTAGCACCTTAAGCATGGAATGCAACAGAGTCAACTTAGCTGAAGCTTTTATCCTCATCTCATGAAGAAACTCCACTGATTCAGATTCTGGCTCAGTGCCTGGTATGAGATATGGGTGATTGCAAACCTTTCTTAACTGCATCACAATGTTGAGCATCGACTGCTGAGCCACCCCCTTTCCGATATTCCGCAGTATCTGATAGTCCTTAGTTAGCATTGCACGATAATATTCAGCCTGGATTGAAGTCAATTCAACTGGCACCATCCTCTCTGTCTTTGGTGGAATATTTTGCATGGCATCTTTTTTAAGCCGCCGAAGCATATGAGGAGCAACAAGTTTCTTCAGTTCCTCTACTTTCTGAGCAGTTGTCAGATCATGGAACTTCTCTTCAAAAGAAGATAAAGAAGGAAATGATGATGGTTGCAAGAAGTTGAGAAGATTATACATCTCACCAATGTTATTCTGAAGAGGGGTGCCTGTCAAAAGCACGCGGTGCTGGAACGAGAATGTGTTGAGCAAGCTAAACAGCTTACTTTCTGAATTCTTTAGACGATGCCCTTCATCAACGAGAAGAACTTCCCATGGAACTCCCCGTAAATGAGATGAATCAGCAAGAATCATTTCATAAGTCGTTAAAAGAACATTAAATCTGTAGGAACTTGTTCTCTTGTTCGCCCCATTTGAATCCTTTGCATGCCATTCGTATTCACGAATTATGGCTCTTGCTTTTGCCCCTCCATGGTACTCCACAACGTTCAGGAATGGGGCCCAAAGAGAAAACTCAGAAAGCCAGTTTGGCATAGTTGATAGCGGAACCAAAACTAAACAAGGCCTTGAAACTTTAAACTCAAAGTAAAGTGACGAAAGAAATGCACAGGCAGACACAGTTTTCCCGAGCCCCATTTCATCAGCCAGGATCACATTTTTTGATTTATACCAACATTTACGCAACCAATTCAGGGCCTCAAGTTGATGGGGAAACAAAGAGCCTCCTTTGAGCTCTTCAGGTTGTTCTGTAAGGGTAATAATCTTGGTTTGCTGACCATCACCCCTATCTCCTGGAAAATGGTCCTTGGCAACATACTTTTCCAATGTTTTCTGCTCAAACTGCTCAAAAAGATCTATTAAATGGGACGACTTCTCAAGAACAGGCTCCTCCAAGCTTTCCCATGTGCATTCATCATAAGCAAGTCCTGTCCATTTTACATAAGCTTCACGTTTACCTTCTTTTGAAACACGCAGACTGATTACCCGCTGAGGCTGTTTCCACCTGTCCTCACAGATATTTATAACAGCTGCTCCATACTTTGATTTGTAATTCTCTAACTTCCTTTTAGCAAGAACTTTCAAGTCAGATTCAGAAATCCAACAGTTATGAATATGAGATTTTCCCACCCATTTAACCAGAAACTCAAATGATTCAGTTTCTCCAGTACGACATGAAGTTTTCCCAGCGATAGGCTCCTTAACTTCTTCAGACATCATACCATTTTCTTCCATGTCCTGTTGTGCTCCTCTCTCACTGAAGACTGTTTTACTAACTTCTATCTCTTCATTCTCCTCATGTGTACTCAGGGTAACATCGATATTGTCCTCTAAAAGCATCTTTCCTTTCCCGTCTCCCAAATTCCCAGAAACTACAGCAGATTCATCAACATCATTATTCTCCATAGGTAAATTCTTATTATCTACCTTCACCAGATTCTCCCAATTACTTATTTTACATTCTTTGGCCACGGATCTTGTATAAACATGATTTTCGTCAGTGCAATCAACATTTCTGGTGCATGCTTCAGCCATGGAACATTTACCTGTCTCAGAACCAAAATCTGTTCTATTCTCAGCAACTCTTATATCTACTTTAGTATCTTGTGCAGAGCTTTCCTCTGGTTGTTTATCCTGGTCTTCACTACCTTGTAAATTACCAGAGTACAAATAATTTGAATGAGCACCACATGAAGAGATTATATTCTGACCTTGGATCCGGCATCCCAGAACTCGATCAACCTATTGAAAAAAAAAAGAGAAGCAAAATACCATTACCAAGCAATGAACAACACATAAGTCAGCAGAAAGCGAAAAAAGCATAGATAATCCAAGATATTCTGAAGGAACACTAGGAAATTTCAGATGGCAACAACTGGATTATCCATTACCTGCAGATTTCCAGCGGGAAGAGAGTTTTTGTGATCCATGGAAATCAAGGGTTTATCTGAACAACGTTTCTCCTTGGGAAGCTTCTGCACGATTAACACGTTTAATTGAACAAGTAGACATAATAAACAAAAATCGCCAGAAAAACAAATATAGATAGAAGATTGAAATCGAAAGGATTATTTTCCTTTCTCACATGTGGATTGTTAGATATATCGACCCAATTGATTACTGCATAGTCTCAGAAAGATACAAGGAATAAGCCATCAATCTATTGCCTGGATAGGTCAACCACTTCGGTATACGCAGGCAATATTACAATCTCATCCTTGAAACGAACGGATATTCATCAGTATAGCCTTTTCAGGTTCCAGGGAATCGAATAGTAAAATTACTGTCACTTTCATGGAATGGCCTATGAAATAAAAATCAACCCATTGATGAACAGGCACAATACAAACTATGGGGTTTAGACAGGCAAATTCAAAGATAAATCAGATGGAACAAAATGTCACAATGCTTGGATTCACAAACAATAAAACCAAGGTTCTTTTTAATTAATGCCGAAGATTTCAACAATAAACAAAGATATCGGAGAAACAAACAAACAGGAAATGATTCTGGAAACTATATAAACTGTAATTAACAATCTCTGGAAACATTTGACATCATTATTTGCTTCGGCACACAGTCCAAGAGTTATAAGAAGCAATTGAAGATGTGAATCATACCTCAGATTTACCCCGTGTATCCATGCTGGATAGATCATTGGACTGAGACTTTATCACCAAATGGTTTATGTTTCTCCTTTTTTTGGATGATTTGCTAGATCTGGTACCGGGAGCACCCGTTTTGGACAAACTTTTCTCAGAAACTTTAGCAGTGTGATTTCCTTTATCCGTCTTGCACTTCTTGAGACTGTCCCCGTTATTGCTTCGATGTTTTCGCTTTTTCCCTTTGCCCTTTCCATCCACCACTGAAACACCATTCTTGTTTTCTGCATTACCATTATAAGCCAGTTCCTGCTTCTCCTCAGATGCTTCGCCATTCCTCTCTGGATTACTAAAACTAGATTCAGAAAGATCTTCATCAGCAGCCAACGATGGCTTCATCTCAGATGGTTGATCTGTAACAGATTTTATTAGATCATCTTCTCTATGACAGGATGAATCTGATCGACCATCCATGAATGTAGGATCGAGTTCAGCTACAGAGTGCCCAACCATCAGGGAGGGATCCACTTTCTTTTCCATGGGTTCACTTTCCTCGGCCAAAACAGACTTCCCTTTCATTGAAGACTGTTTGCCAGAAATGACGGAACTACAAAAAGTCGGGGATGATTTCTCACACACAGACGACGTTGATTCTGCTTGAGAATTTTTCTTGATGGTTTTGGCCCTCGTTCGTTTTGCAATGGCGTCTGGGCGAGGCCTGAGTGCATCATTCTTCTGGGAGCATTTTGGGCATAGCCACGTCCCATTTGGAATTTTCTAAAGAAGAAAAGATAAGGAGTAAAATTTTCCCGAATTGTCTTATTGCAAATCTACCACTTTTAATAGCACATAAATCATTTACCTTAAGAGGGGGTTTGAGGCATTCAATATGATAGGTCCGAGGACAACTATCACAGCAGAGCAAATCACCACCAAGGTCACAAATCACACATTCATAGTAATACTGGAACAGAAAGAAGCAAATACCACATATCAATTACGAAAATGATATCTTCAGATACTGTGTCACAAGGGCAAGATTCATCAGAACAACACCGGAAAGAAAAATACGGAAAGGGAAATGTAAAATTACCCCATCATTTCCTTTCTTTTTTGAAGAGGACCGTTCAGGAGTTTTTTTGGCTCTATGTCGGCGCTTGGTTGGTTTAGTTGGAGAAGCATATCCTGAAGGCTCTATCTCTATGGCCACTGGATTATCTTCTTTGCTATTAGGTAAATCCGGTTCACATGGAAGTTTTCTTCGTTTCCTCTTCATGTTGAAATTGAAATCCCTTTTAATCATTTCACTGCTTGAGGAAGGGTTATCTTTCATTTTTAATCTCTGTTTCCCTCAACAGAGCAACAGATAGATCTCCGTGCACAAATTGATATGTAACACTATACAAAAGTGGTCTCGCCAAAATAATTCCACAGTAGAATGCCCCTACATTTCCATCAAAGGAAATGTTAACCAGAAAGCAACATAGAGAAACGGGAAGGAAATTACAACTAGTAAAATACACTATCCAACTAGTCAATGAGTAAGTGTCCTGGTTATCCCACATGAAGATCACATTACAAAAGCGACTATGAAAAAGAATACAAACCATCAGAAATCAACCTCTAGATGCAATTTAATGGATAAACAAATGCTGTAAAATGAAATTCTCGATGAAACGAGGGCACTGCTCAACAGTGTTTGTTAGATCATACGCATGCTTAGAAATATTGAAAAAAGAAGTGCTAAGGGGAAAAAAACAAAGGCAAGTATTCAAACTAAATAAGAAAAGGAAAAAAAAAACATGCAACATTTTAGACAAGAATGGTATGGAACGCCAAGTAGTAGTCACGTAAAGGTGAATTCTTTCCCGATACAGAATTCAAAGAGACAGTCGAGCCATCATGGAAACCGATAACGTTGAGCAAAACCCGGTGTCGAGACTTCATAATCTTTCAATTGTTTGTATTTGCAGTGTTCCGTACAGGATAAGTCGAACAAATGACTAGCAAAAGCATATAAAATAAAAGAAGCTTAAGAATTAGATGGCATCCCCAGCGAGCAGAGTGAAAATATGCATCACACAAAAGATTACGTTTGCATCATTCAAAGTAAAACAGCAATCCTTTAACAATTAGAATATTAGATATCAAGAGAGGATGAGATAGCAGCGAAGTAAATAAACCAAATTTCAGAACATCGCTCCGGCAAAATATTGTACATTGTAGTTTCAAAACTACAAGAACAGTTCCATTACATCAGTCAGTTTCTCTACTTAGATATAACATTTACTGTATCATAAACAGAAATGCATCACATAGATATCAGTTGGCAGGTTTTAATTCAACCAGAAGAGTTTTGTATAGAAATTCAGAGAGCTTGAGAATCTAAAAGACTTGCACTTAACCAACCACCCGTGACAGAGTTTCTCAAAGGCAACCTAAATCCAACAAACTTGAATCGATATCTCTACCAACTAAATCATTGTTGAATAAGCTACAATGGCAACCTAAATCCAAGATCTTACTGCACTGAGAAATTATCACAACTCAAAGAACGATAAGGCGTGGCCACAGTATCACTCCACGATCAAACGGCATTGACATCACAAAAGAATCAAACCAACCGTACCGAATTTTGGGAACCCAACATCGGAATCATCACGAGTAAGAGAATCAACAAGTACCCAGATGGAGAAACAGCTTACCAACCTCGAATCAGAACCGACTGAGACCACTCCAATTGAAGAGAAAGGGAAGACGGAGACGGGAGCTAGGGATTGAGCCCGGAGAGCGATTCTAGGGCACAGCCAGAGGGGCAGAGACGAGAGAGAGAGACGCGATACGAGAAGCGACAAAAAAATAGAGAGCCTTTGAGAAGGGTTTGTAGAGAGAAAGAGGGGAGCATACGATACGGATTCGCCGGGCTCATAGGAAACGGGCTCTGACATGGCACAAGAGAGAGAGGGGGGAGAACCGAGAACGACCCAGCCACTCCCGAAACGCCACGTGTCGCTGTCAGGAGCCAAAACCCCTCCGATATTTCTTTCCTTCTGTGCTTTCCTCTCCTCTCTCTCCTCCCAAAATACAAAGAGGCACGACACAGAGAGAGAGAGAGAGGGAGGGAGAGAGAGAGAGAAGCAGCCATGGAGTTTCCGGAGGAGATCTTGAGACGGTGGATCTTGATCCTTGAGGGAGATCCTGTTCGGTTCTTATTTCGGAACGTTGGGTTCAAAATCTGCAGTTTAGTTTCTACCCTCTGACTGCTTTTTCAGGTTTTTTTTTTTTATCAAAGTCCTTTAGATTCCGTTGCTTTTATTAGTAATCTAGGATAGATTTTTATTTTTTATTAAAAAAATTAACAGGACGTGGATATTATATTCCCATAGTATCCTTGAGAAACAGAACCGTTTCCTTGTAACTCAAGAAACCAATCATCTGTGTTTTGGATTTACCACTTTCTCGATCCAAACAACGAGACCCAAGATCCCCCACTTCCTAATCATTACACTTCTTAGGAGCACTCCACGTCGTGTTCTGAGGATTCTTCCCATTGACGGCCGCCGACAAAGACAGGTACTTTCTCCAGTCATCAAGAACGAGATTCAGATCATGGAGCTTGTTCTCCAGACCGATGCAGCAGTTCGCATGCATCGTACAGACCAAGTTCATGTCTCTGCTCGTCTGACAAAACCCACCGAAGTAGACAGTGTCGTAGAACCTCATCCGGACTCCCATCTCGGAAACGGCGGGATCGTGTTTGATCCTGTTGAACACGTCTTGATCGTGTAACCCTGGATAGTTCAGCCTCGATCTGTACCAGAACTTGTAGAACTGAACCGTTCTGTTGTTAGATTTCACGTAGGTGAACCCTCCATTGACCCAGTTGTCTGAATCGTAAGGGTCGCCGAAGAATCTGTCACATGCCATCTGAAAATCTCCATCTGGGTATAGCCTTGGGAATGGATCTCGAAGCCACATTATATCAGCATCCTAAATCCCCGAATCCAGACTTAATATGTCAGAAAACTGCAGAGGAGAAAGATCAGTGGAGAGAGGAGGAAGAATACCGTGAAGATGAAGTTAAATCCCATCTCGAGAACCTCGGTAAGAAGCCTGATACGCCGCCACATCATCTTGAGGTAATCAGGAGTCATGTACACTTTCTCGCCGGAAAAATCGGTTCCCGCCGTCACCAGTTGGTAACAGTTCCGGTGAAGCTCTGAGCATCGGGCGAATGACTTGGGATCCAAGCAAACCACCACGACATGTCTCAGAAGCTTCTGTGTTCCTTGTCCGATCCGAAAACTTTCCAGGAAGAGATCGAACAGGGAGTTCGGTTCGGCCCATGCTTGGTTCAATGTAGTTATGATCACCGTCCTGTTCTCCGTCGACGCGTTCTCAAGAACTTGTCTGAAACTGGTTACTGTTTTTTTCTGACAGAAAACACCAAAAAATAAAAAAAGAAGAAGATCTCAGTTTTGAATTGGATTAACCCTAAATGGTTTGATAACAACAAGCAAGATAATGAAGAATTGGACTCTGCAATCTGGAAACTAATAAAAAGTAGAGAGATCTGAATAAGGACCCTGTCCCAAAATCTAGATCAAATCCATGTTGGATGCAGAAAGAATACATACATACATACATACATACATACATACATACATACATACATACATACATACAAACGCTGACACAAATTTATGGTCACACATATATATGACAAGTATATGCAGAGACATATGAACTAGATTCTTGAACTGAGTAACTACTCACTGTTTCAGGGGAAGATGAGGAGTTGGTGATTTTAGAAACAGAGGATTCGTTACTGAGCAAAGAGCTGAAGTCTTTAACGTCGATCCGTTGCAGAGGAGAAGCTGCTTTGTACAGAACCAGACACGAAGCGGTCAAACCCAGAAACAAGACCAGGACTCTTATCACCTTCTTTTGTCCGATCCCATTACCCAAATCCTGAATCTTACAGCAAGAAGAAGAAGAAGAGGAGGAAGAGGAAGAAGACGAAGAAGAAGAAGAAGGGTCCATGCTGTTGAGGTTTGAGGTTCTGTTTGGTTTCTTACTCTGTTTTTGCAGGCTCTTTATGTAACGCAAGAAACCAGAGGAAAAGTCATCATTGGCTCTGCTGTCTTTGTAACAACGATGCTTCCAATTGTGTTTATTCTTTTAATTGAAAAGACTAATTCTAAATATTAAATTCTTTTCGTCGAAAACTATGACGGGAAATTAGGAAATTGTTTTTTTTTCACAACTTTATTTATTCAACTGCAATAATTCTGTGTTCTTGTTATATAATTTAGTATAAACGAGAGATATGAATTGTAAAATAATTTCGGTATATTATTTTATAAATTTGTGGTTCATTTGTTCATGTCAGGACATAAAGTTCAATTATTTCGTTATTTTAATTCCATGGAAGACCATAAAAAAGGTTGACGAAACCGTCCTCTACGGTATCGACACGTGGCATTATTATGTTTTCTAACACCATGCATCTTCCAACGATTATATTATTCCATCATGTAACAATCCGTGTAGTTTGGTGGCCGCCATCACATGTCCATTTTCTCCCACTATTTCTCTTATAAAAAAAAAGTGAAATTGCGTCCATAAATAAATCAATTATAAGGAGGAATCTTATGAACTGATTCCTCTGATTAATCATCAAATTGAAATAGAAAACTAATAATCATAATGCGTTGATTATGTCAGCATTGGAATTAGACGTTTTCAAAAATTAAATATGATTAAATCTTTAACTAATGAATTGCACATTAATTACTTTGTTTCATGCGGAAATCTTTGACAAAACAATTATAAATATGTGAATTATAATAAAATGTGTGCATATTTTTCAACAACAACAACAATGATAATAATAATACCTTTGAAATAACAAATCAAATTCACATCCTCTTGTAACCACGTTTTATGTGGGAAATCATTGACAAAAAAATTACAAATATGAATTACAATAAGATGCGTTTCCATTTCTCAATAATAATAATAATAGTAATAATAGTAATCATAATAATAATAATCGTTTAAATAAAAAATGCAAAAAAGGAATCAAATTCACAACTTCTTGTAACCACACTTGGGAGGAATATTCCACATCGTCTCGGTGACGGTCGTATTAGCCGACAAGTATCTTCTCCAGTCATCAAGAACAACCCTAAGGTACTTCACTTTGTTGTCCAAACCAATACAGCAATTTGCATGCATGGTGCTGACGACGTTTACGTCGCGACTCGGTTGGCAAAACCCTCCGAAGTAGACAGTGTCGAGGAACCTCATCTCGATCCCGAGCCGGACCACGAACGGATCGTTCTTGATGAAGTTGAACACGTCCTGGTCGTGTTTTCCGGGGAATCTCCGGCGCGATCTGACCCAGAACTCGTAGAATCTCGATGCCTTGTCGCTGGCTTTTACGTAGGTGAATCCCGAGTTGACCCAGTTGTTCTTGTCCGATGGCTTTCCGTTGTAGTTATCGCACGTTATTTGGAAGTCTGCTTCTTGGAAAAACCTCGGAAATGGATCCCTCAGCCACACGATATCCGCATCCTGAAAAATCAAGAAACCTGTGCATATAAGTGAACATATTCAAACGAATAGACCGGTTCGATGGATACGGATTATACAGATTTCTTGAATACAGTCAAGAAACATAACTCAACTTGGTTAGTTCAACCGGTTAAATGGGAACGCTTAGCGTTTGTCCCATCCGAGTTCGAGCCTCAAGATGGGGATGGAGTGTATAAGTCAAAGCATATGGTTGGCTCACAGTCCCGAGATTAGTCTGGGTTTCGGTTCAGGATGCTCGGTTATTAGAAGAAAAAAAACACACATATATATATATATATATATATATATATATATATATATATATATATATATATATATAGAGAGAGAGAGAGAGAGTGTGTGTGTGGAAAACGTTTAGATTTCGCATGTAAAAACACTCCTTGGCACTCCCTAGACAGTGTTAAATTAGCGCATAGAAGATTAATTAGACCGGCTCAACAAATATATATATATATATATGTGTGTGTGTAGTATCATACGTAAAAAAAATATCTACACTAATATAAGTAAACATATACAGGCGATGAGACCGGTTCAATGAATACATAATATGGCTTTTTCCCAATGAAATTATTGTTGATATTTGTTTCAATAATGAATCAACTGAATAACTAAATAAAAGACAGAAATTTCTTTCTTGAATATATATGTAATATGTGTATATATATATATCATAAAAAAGAAATATATATATATATATTGAGGGGGTGAATTAAGGTCATTTGGAAAACGTTAGATCTGAGTTTTCGTATGCAAAATGACTCATTGGAATTGCGTAGACGCTGTAAATTTAGCACACAAAAGATTAGACCGGTTCAGTGTGTATATATATTTATATCATACGCAAGAAAAAGTATATATGGACACTAATATAAGTTACAAAATTATGAAGTTCCACGTAATTTACAAAGTCAAACTAGAGGCCAGTCATGAAAACCATATGAAATAGAGATTAATAATATATATATATATATAT